CGGAGCCGTGAGCCAGGCTCTGTGCTGAGTGTGGAGCCTGCTTGGGACTCTCTCTCTCCCTCTGTCTCTGCCCCTCCCCTGCTTGTGTTCTCTCTGTCTCTCAAAATAAATAAATAACCTAACGATAAATAAATAGGAAGGAATCTTCAAGCTAACGTGGGTTTAAGCGGCCTGTAGCGCCCCGCTGCCGTGTAACCGCGTGGTCAGAGGCACGAAGAGCCCCGGCTTCCCACCCCTCTCTTGGGCTTTCTCGTTCCTGGTCCCCCTGCCAGGCCGTCATCGGCAGACACAGAGCGGAGCACAGGGAGAAACAGGGAGAAAGGGTATAGGAAAGGGACCAAAAAAAAAAAAAAAAAAAATCACATGTTTGGAAAAAGAAAAAAAAAAAAAAAAAAAAAAAATCACATGTTTGGAAAAAGAAAAAAAAAAAACCAAGGCGCCTTTAAAAAGCACTTAGAGGGTTTTTCCAAACCAATTATCTGGCTTAATGCGAATGGCTTCTTTGCTGACCTTCTATGTTATTTGCACATTTAAAGTGAGGCCAGCCCTTCCTGTTTTCCTTTAGCTGAAGCTGCGAGTTAACTAAGATGAAAACCCTTCATTTCTTGAGGGAAAGAAGCCGCTGAGAGGTAGGGTTCTAATTCCCGAGGCAGGTGGGGGTGAGGGGTGCACGGTGCTCAGGGCCCGCTCACTCCCGTCTCGGAGCTGGTGGGTGTGGGGACACAGAGTTGAATCACCCTGGGGCGGTTTCCCCCAAACTGCGGTGCATGTCCTCCTTGGGGGCAGGTAGGCAGGATCTAGTGATTTGATACTAATTATACCCACCCTGGAAAAGTCTAGGATTCTACAAGTAAGGGAGACAAGACTTTGAGGCTCTGACTGCTGCCTCTGGGCCCCAGGGTAACAGGGCGGGGAGCCTCCTCTCTCGGAGGAGCCCCAGGCCTGGGCGGTGCCTGCCTGTCCAGGGCTTCCCCTGTTGGGTTTCCCACCTGAGCTACTTCTATTTCATTTTCAGAGCAAGGGAATGGGCTAGAAGCCCGAAGGGCTCCCCGGGAAGGAGCGGAGTCCGTAGGAAGGCACGGCGCTCTGAGGCCCTCGCTCCCTCTCGTCAGAGCTTGTGAGAACCCACGGCCCTCTCTAGGGGCTCCAGGAGAATTTACTTACAAGTGGGGTGAGCCGAGGAAGGAAGGGGATGTAGTCCAAAGGAGGGTTAAAGCCCATCCCTGGAAAGATGGGTGGACGGGCTTTGGTATAGGCAAAGGGCCTGTGGTGAGTCTGTCCAGGGAAGGCTGACCCTGGACAGGGGGACAGTTTTGTGGAAGGAAACAGGAAGCACCATGTTTTAGGCCCAAATCAGAATACGTGGGGAGATTCCTTGGGAGTTAGAGTCTGGAGACAGGAAGGGGATTTCTGTGTTCTGACGAAGCTTGGTATGTCTATACCCGCGCCCATTGCGCCCCTCCCCCCGGGACCACGATGCTGACTGGTATGTGTCTGTGCCCTGAACACGAGGGCACCCATAACTCTTGACGGAAGGGAGGTCATCCCCACATCTAGTCCCCAAGTCCCACCAGCGCTTCCTCCCAAGCTGCCTTCCTGTCCTTCTCTTCGTTCCGTCTCCAAAGGGCTTCGTGGTCTCGCCTCCTCCCATCCTGCTCATACCCTGGCCTTCCTCCAGCCTCCTTGCTGGCCTCCCTGCCTCCCACCTCACCCCTATCGATGCAGGAAACCAGAGGGATTCTTCTGGGCACAGCCTCTAGCCTCATCTTACCCACTTCCCAGTTCTGCTCTCAGGATGCAGTCAGCTCCAGCTGAGTCCCCCTGAGATCCAGTCTCTGCGTCAGCCCCTCTCTGCCCCCTCCCGCCCACAAGCCTGACGCCCCCGCCTTTGCGAATCACACACAGTCCGTCGGACCCCCGGTGTCCTCTCCCCTGCTGAGCCAGGCAGGAAGCCATCTGGAAGATGTCCTGTCTTACAGCTGAGCCTAGGACACCTCCCCCAGGAAGCCTTCCAACCCGCCGTACGGATCACATGTCCCTCACCTGTGTCCCCACGGCCTCTTCTGTTTTGTGCATGTTACACCAGCTTATCACTGCTTGCCTGTCTCCCCAGAGGCCCCTCATCGCTGTCTCCCTTGGGCCCGGGGCACACCTGGCATCAGTAAGCCCCCAGCACATATCACACTGAGCCCAGGGAAGCTCCCTGTAAAACCGAAGCCACCGCACACTCTGCCGCCAGCCCTGGTGTGGTCTCCACGTGGGCGCCTTCAGCTTTCTAAAATCAGGGACCCCTGCAGAATTTGAGTATGAAAAGGTAGATTCTTAGGTCTTTTGGTCTGTCAAATAAGTGTTCGACTTTAGAAGCTTCAGTTTGTAGTGGTGATTTTTTTTTTTCAAGCAGTAAAATTTCAGTGATTACAGTCCGTGCCAGAAGGCTAAGCCTCCTCTATCCTAAGGAATTCCTGCGCTAATTGCGGTGCTCATCTGTGGGAAGCTTCCAGAACTGTACAGGAAACCACCAAGTGCTGCTGCCCCTTTCCCTCGGCAGCTCAGACAAAACAAACACAGCGTGGGAGGCCGGGTCCTCGTGGGTGCTGGCCCGCTCCAAACACTGCACCCTCCTCTGCCTGCACCCACGGCGCAGTGTGGTTTTAGCCCCTCGTCCCAGAGCTACCGGGCCGTGGAGTAAGAGCTGTTTTCCAGACTTCTTAGTTAAAACAGGTTCGTGCGATCAGTGCCAGAGCACAGTGTCTGCGCGCCTGCGTGTCGGACTTCATCACTCAGCCCGAATCAGCTACAGCACGAGTGAGGCCTCCCCGGCGGCGAGCCAGGCTCCACCAGCCACGCATCGCAGACCCGTTTCCTGCTTGCCCTTTCTTTACATTCACCCTCTTGTGAGAAGCATTCCCCACCCCTGCCCCGTGTCCTCTTAACAGATGATTTTTTAGGGTGATGTCAGAACCTAAAGCAGTTGGGATGACTTTTTCATTAATGTTAATTTTAGAGAGAGAGATCGAGCATGACTGGGGGAGGGGCAGAGAGCGAAGCAGACACAGAATCCGAAGCAGCTCCAGGCTCTGAGCTGTCAGCACAGAGCCCGACACAGGGCTTGAACCCACTGTGAGATCGTGACCTGAGCCGAAGTTGGCTGCTTAACCAACTGAGCCACCTAGGTGCCCTGGGATAACTTTTAAATAGTATTTTATAAACTTCGGGGAAAGCAGTTTTGTTTCTGGCTCTAAGAATGAGTCTGGTTCTAGTAATTACTCTCTTTGGGGTGGAGCACAGTTTATTTGAGCCCCTGAGCCTCTGTTGCCTCATCTATAAAATGGGGACAATAATCTGCCAAGCTCGGGTGTTATGCAGGTTGAGTAAAATAACATCTTGGCCAGTCTCTGGCATACATGCATTTGGTGGCCAGGAAATGATGAGTTGCTTCTGTCTCCCCTTCCCCCAGATTCAACTCCCCCCCAAGAATAAAAGCATAATAAACTACTTAAATTCTTCAACGTGAAGAATTTAAACCCAAACCCTGAAGATAGTCACCCTTTAAAACACCACTGAAGCATTTATTTGTAACACCGTTCAGACTGTACTCCTTGGTTATTCTCCAAGCCTCCCGTGGACTTTAAATTCTGCTGAGCAGAGCCCACGAAGGCAAGACACTGGGGTTCCCAGGCAATGTGTTTTGCTCCTGGAAAGGACATGTACTAAAGATCTGTTCATAAAATCGGAAGTCGGACAGAATTTTCTGGAAGCAGTTTATCCAAAAGTCCCCCCCGTCACGCTCCTGGAGAGGTCCTGTATTTTGTTTATGCCGAATGATCGAATCTGCTCCTGGCTGTGTTTTCTGACCATGAATAGAAATCGTCTGCAGGTCACTCACCCCCCTCCCCGAGCCATCTGTGCCCTGTCCCCGGGCTCCACAGTGGGCAGCCCCACGTGCGGCTGCGGTGTCCCTGCCCCACACCCCGTCTTGGAGAATGATGCTCGTTTGTCGATGGGCTGCCACCAGTTACTTGGTAAAGCGGATTTGAGCGCAGACGTGGGTCAGAAAGAGCATCCACGTAACACGCCGTGTGCTGTGAGAAAAGAGGTGCCGCGGCTCCCCCCCCCCCCCCGACGGGACTATCTCCAGGCCCCCTGCGAAGCGCAGAAAACAAACTGCGGGACGCCACAGTCCGCAGTGCCCGCAGACGCCGAGGCCGCACGGTATCCAAGCCCGACCGGCGTGTCTGCCCCTGGAGAGGGGAGCTGGGTCCCAGGCGGGTGGGGGCAGGCCCCCCGCTCTGCGTCCCTCAGGAGCTTTAGAGCTCTGCGCTGTTTGGAAGGCCGCCACACCTCGCACGGAGAGCGCGGGGGCTCCTCGCTCGCGGCCCCGGGGTTGGCTTCTGCCCTGCTGCCCTTGGGCGGGCCCCCCGCCCCGCCCGCGGCAGGTGCAGCGCAGCAGGGACCTGGCTCGTCGTGTCGCTTCCCGCGTGAGCCCCGCTCCACGTGGGAGCCACTTGGGGGAAGGAGGCCGAGTGGCCCCCTGCCCGGGGCCCCTGCCGCAGTGCCGGCGTCTTGCGGGTGTCCACTGTGTGTTCGCCCCCTTCCCCGCCTCCCCTCCCGGCCGTGACCGCCAGCCGGTCGTTTCCTTCGGGTCTTCGGGCCCCGCCGGCTCACGGGCTTCCCTGCCCCGGCGCGAGAGCCGGGCTCGTCTCAGCACAGAAGGCCTCTGGTCACCGCAGGGCCCCGGGCGCAGAGGGTGGCCGTGAGGCGACGGGCTCCGAACGCTAGAGCCAAGGCCGTGTGGCGCCACGCGAGGCGGAGCGGGGAGGCCCCGCTGGGCAACGGGGTGCCCTCGGAGGAGACGCCCCGGCCTGGGGTCGCCGTCGCCTCCTCTCCCGGGCGGGGGCAGTCAGATCTGCCCCCGCGAGGCGGGCTGTGCGGCCGTGCGAGGCCGTCCGCGCGCGTCAGCCGGGTCCGCACGTAACGCGCGTGCTCGTTTGTCGTTTCAGCGGAGGGCGCAGGACGTCGTCAGCCCCGTGGTGTTCGAGGCCGCCTACAGCCTGCGGGAGCGCGCGCGCGGAGACGAGGGCCGGGAGCTGCCGGCTCTGGCGCCAGTGCTGCGCTGGAAGAAGGGACGGAAGATTGCCCAGACGAACCAGGTCAGAACCCTGAAGCTCTCGACCGGGGACCCAGGGTGGCAGGCGCCTGCGGAGGACGTTGTGGCCCCGGCGGGCCGCGGCAAGGGCACGCCCGCCTCCGCGCCTCGCTTTCCTGACCCGCAAAATGATAAAATACATGTCTGGTGGGGGGGTGTTGTTAAATCTAACAACCACGTGATTCAAACACATCGAGGGATTATTCCTCATGATCCCTTTGATGTCATGAACCGGTTCCTTGGCCCCTGAACTTGACACTTATTCCTAGACTGTTTCCAGAGCTTAGATTACGTAGTAGGTGCTCACTAAATGCTTTGTTGGTGAGGGTATGAGTGAAGAAGCAAGACCACCATCTTGTAGGGGCTTCCGGGGGGTTTGGTCGGTTAAGCAACCAGCTTTGACTCAGGTCATGATCTCACAGTTCATCCGTTCGAGCCCCGTGTTGGGCTCTGTGCTGACAGCTCAGAGCCTGGAGCTGCTTCCGATTCTGTGTCTCCCTCTCTCTGCCCCTCCCCTGCTCACTCACATGCGCTCTCTCTCTCTGTCTCTCAAAAATAAGTTTAAAAATTTTTAAAAAAAATCATCTTGTAGGGACTGGTGGTTGAGTTAGAAATGTCCAATCCAGGCATCCCTGGGCCAGAGCGCTGCGGGCGTGGGTGGGCCACCCATCCTGTTGAGTGCTCATCCCATTCCGGGCTGTGCTGCTGTGTGGAAGAGCTTTGGAGCACCATCGGGTGCGGGCCCTACAAGCAGGAGCGAGCCCAGGACCGATTCCGTGCAGGAGCGCGGCCTGTCTGCCCTGAGCCGTCCGTGAGACGTGCAGCACTGTCTACTATGCAGGAAATACGCAGGGAATCTGTGCTCCCAAATCTGTTTTAAATCTTCCCTCAACACCCAAAGTCACCACAGATCCAGGACCTTGGTGGGGAGAACGTCAGGCAAAACTGCTTTTTGGCTAAACCAGGCTCCTGTGCAGGGTGGTGGGGGGAGCAGAGCCCTGGATCCACGCGCAGGCCCCGCCCTCCTTTGACTGCTCTGGGCTCAGGGGAAAACTCGCACATCAGCCAGCCATCCCTTGCAGATCACAGCTGGGAAAAGAGCCACAGAGAAGAGTCGAGGTTCGAGATGTCCGTCCAGATGTTCAGTTAAGTGGTGAGGTTTTTCGCAAGGCCTGCCAGTTCTCCGCCAAAGTACCTCCCGCGTGGTCTTGGGTCAGGTTCCCCGAAGCAGAGCCTGGGGCAGGGATCTGGGGGACATGGTCTGATGAGGCTGTGCTCTTAGGAGAAGCTGAAGGAAGTGAGGGAAGTAGAAGGCGCGGGGAGAGGATGTGGCTCCGCCAGTAGCTTTAGCGGAGCTGGAGAAGTCAGGAGCACAAATTACACCCAGCAGCTGTCTTCTCAGGGCAGGGGGCTGGCCTCGTGTACCCCGTGTTAGTCAGCCGTCGGCTGGCTGGCTGGTGTAGAAGCAGAGTGTAGGTCTCCTCGAAGGACATTCCCTTCAGCTTTGGACGGGTCTCCGGGGACAGATGGGCATGTGAGCCGCCGGCTCCTCGGCCCCACCAGCTGGGGGCCGGGCAGCAGCTGTACCGGGTGTGAGCAGGGCGCCCGGCGCCCGCGGCCCGCAGGCACACAGCCTGCTGGCAGTACCGGCTCTTCAGCTCCTTCTCTCGATTTCAAACATGAACTTCTTCAGAGCACGAGGCCCTGGAAGGTGGCTGGTTACCAGCACTTGAGCAGGCTGAGGACTGGGCAAAGCCAGTGGTGTGGTGACCGTTCCGGTCACCTCTGGTTCAAGGTGGCCGACCAAGCACACCTGTCTATGCTGCCTGAGGCCCCATTACGCTGCGTGTAAGTGAGGAAACAGGCACAGGGAGGGAAACGCTCCGGGGAGGAGACCTCAGCCAGGGAGAGGGGCTGGTAAATTTCCGGCGAGGGAAGAAGATGAAAGAGTGTTGGTGGGTGAACCTTGAACTACACATAGAGGCTGGGGGCCCATCTGCCTAGGGGTCCAGAAAGCTGAGCCGTGGCCACGCGGTTCACAGAAGGGTGCAAGAGTGACCTGTGCGACGGAAACGGTCGGGGGGGGGGGGCTATCAAGTGAAGTTTGGTAACTGGAAGGGTTGACTGCCCACCCCTGTCCTTGTCCCCCGGACTGGGACATGCAGAATGGCAGCAACCAGGCATTTTCTTCTCTAATGAGTCTAGTAAACCGGTTGAGATAGTGTGAGTTTGGCTGGCCCCCCAGAGGAAAGCCTTACTTCCCTGGCATTTAGAGGCTCTGATGTAAGTGTTAGCTTCCCCTCCTACCATTCATCCACAGATTTCTGAATCAGCCCTTTGGCCTTATTCCTAAATACAATTAGACAACCAGTGAACCTGAGATTGGAGGAACGATGTGGTGAAGAAAAAGACCAAAATGAACAACAGAGTGTCTGACTTAGAAGGAAATAGGCTGTTCAGGGCATAGAAAAGATTATATAACTTTAAAAACCACCTTAGGGGCACCTGAGTGGGGCTCAGTCAGTTAAGCACCTGACTTTGGCTCAGATCATGATCTCACAGTTCGTGGGTTCGAGCCCAGTGTCAGGCTCTATGCTGACAGCTCAGAGCCTGGAGTCTGTTTCAGATTCTGTGTCTCCCTCTCTCTCTGACCCTCCCCTGCTCACTGTCTCTCTCTCTGTCTCTCTCTCTCTCAGAAATAAAACATTAAAAAAATTTAAAAACCACCTTAAAATGTATATAGGGGTGCCTGGATGGCTCAGTCAGTTGAACGTCTGACTTCAGCTAAGGTCATGATCTCACCACTTGTGGGTTCAAGCCCCGCGTCGCGCTCTGTCCTGACAGCTCCGAGCCTGGAGCTGCTTCAGATTCTTTGTCTCCCTCTCTCTCTGTCCCTCCCCTGCACCAGCGCGCTCTCTCTCTCTCTCACTGTCTCTCGCTGTCTCTCTCCCTCTTTCAAAAATAAATAAACATTAAAAAAATTGTAATGTACATAATAAACACAAGGAGGTTTCAGAATATATTTTGTCCTTTAAGAAAAGGTTGGAATTCTTTCTTTTTAAAGGGAAGAAACAGAAAAAAGAAAACGTTCTTAAAAATTAACCAAATGGTTAGAGAGGCAAAACTTTAGTAGGATTAGAAGATAATGGAAAGAAATCCCCCAGTAAGTAGAGCTAAAAGACAAATAGAAGAGAGCTAAAGGATCAATTTATAAGTAATCAATTCAAGTAATAGGAGTACCAGAAAAGTAAGCAGAGAAAAGTTTAAAAGTTGTAAGAGAGACAAAAGAATAAAATTTTCCAGAGTTAAAGGACAATTATTTTTTTAACATAAAGATCTCACCAACTTACAAGCAGGAGAAACGAAAAATATCCTAGATACAATGTCTAGGATATTTGCAAGTCACTGCTACTAAGATTTAAGGAAAATTCTAGATGCTTCCAGGACAGGGAGTACAGGATGGGAGGTGGGGGGTGGGGAGGATATATGTCAACGTACAACATAGTTGGAGTCCTACAAACTAAGCAGCTCATCGACCTCCTGATAGGCAAGATTAGAAGCCAGAATATGGTGAAATAAAGGCTTCGGAGCTCTGATAGAAAGAAATTTGAAACTGGAATTTTATACTTAGCCTAACAGTAAGTCTGAGGTTGAAATACAGTAATTTTTCAGACAAGCAAGGGCCAGATAGTGTATCTCCCGAGGAAACTTCCAAGGCGACAGCTGTAAATGTGCTGCAACAAAACAAAAGGATAACAGCGAATTTAAACAATAGTTGACCAAATTAGAACGGGGTCAGTGAACTTCAGGGAGAATGAAGCTGGCAATAGACAGAGTAACAGAAAGTAGCAAAACTTTAGGCTACAGTGTAGATGTAGATGTAGTTTCTTCTCAAATAAAAATAAAAGCAATCAAAAACTCTCAGGAAAATAGAAATTTGGTCAGTGTGTCATGGTTCAGACATAAAACAAAATGTCATGGGACTTTGAGCAAGTAGAAGAGTGTAGGGAAAAGAAGAACTTTGATACTAGAAATGTTCTCCCCCAAGTGAAAGTTGAGCTTTGCACCTGTAGTGAAGGGTATGTAATCATGACCCTTGTCTGGGCTCGAACGTGAACAATAATCATGTAGCCATAACATTAGCATTATTTATTAATTTTCGGTTATAGTATAAAATGTAAATGCCATTAAATTTTACTGCGTCGAGGTAAAAATAGAATGGTTGAAGTTCTCTTAAGATCTTCATCTTTTAAATCGGAGCATCAAGAGTGCAAAACTTGATGAAACGAGAAACAGTTATTTACAACTGAAAATTACGGAAGTTATCAGTGGAGCACTGCTTCTTAAATTGTGGCTGTGGACCCGGCCATGTCAGCCTCTTTGGTGGTCTTGTGAGAAATGAGGATTCTTGGGCTACATCCCCGACCCACCAAATCAGAAACTCGGGGCAGGGGGCGGGGAGGAGGCCTCAACAATCCGGGCTCTGACAAGCTGACCAGGTGATTCTAAGGCAGCTGGTGTGTGAGCAGCCCTACCGCAGAGGATCTGAGAGTAGTGTCTGCCTGGCGGCCTGTTAACATCAGGAAGGCGGAGGAGGCGGGGCTCTTGTGCAAGAGAATTCCCACCCATGGTGGCAAGAATTCAGTAAGATAATGTCTAAATCTGATTAATCATCAGAAGAAACGTACATGGACATGGGGAATAGTGGTTGCCCCCAGACAGCAGGACTTGTACAGGGAAGTGTATGGCAGGGAGTCATGCCTTTTTTTTTTTTTTTTTTAACCATGTGATTCTTTGATTGAAAGGAAAATGAAAGAAAAATATTGTTCTTCACTTGGAGAGATTGTTCAGGAGTCTGAGAAATATTCTGGGAGAGTGATCCTTGCCTTTTCTCCCTTCCCTGATTAGGTGGGAGGGGAGGCTGATTTAATGATCATCCTCCATGTGTCTTCCAGATGTTGACTCAATTTGCAGGGGAGAAGGATTCTGAGAGGGAGGCCCACT